GAGTTTCGGACTGGTGGTGGGGGACTTGGGGTTGGCAGTGGTGGCGTGAGGGGAAGGTGCAGGTTCTAATAGTGAGGATGGGTACCGGAGTTGTGCAGTGGTGGTGGCGTTAGGTGGAGCAATGGTGATGTTAGGGGAAAGAAGAAAGATTAGAAAAAAATAAAATAAAAAATTTATTTAAGCCAATTATATATCGACACGTGGCATTGTTAACTTGTTTATCAAGTTACATTCAATTTTATCGTGATTAAAGTTGAGGCTCCCTAAAGATTGTAATACTCCGGTATATAATTTAAAGATTGCATTATTTAAAAGAAAACAGACAAAGATTATATTATTAATGATAATATTTACAATTCATTATCTTCTAAATTAGACCATGTCTTTAAGTTCAGCAAATATAATTATATTTATAAAGTTTTACATTGGGTTTTATTCAGATCGGATTGAATGAAATAAGATGAGGGCTTTGTTTTCATTTTCTCATCAACACTTCTAACAGCTAGCTGATCTTCTAATCAATCAATTATAGGAATAAAAAAATGGTGACGCTTGGTTCCAAAAATATAAAAGGTGTAAAATGACTACTACTCTAATTTTCCAAATTAAAAATATAAAGAAAAGGATTACTACGGGCACACTTCTCGAACTCATCCCAAAACCCTTTTGATTTGGTTTCTTCATCTTCACTATTTTATCAATTGTTCGTTTCATACCTCGATCTGCATGGCTTTAACGTCGTGTCATCTCCTCCTCACTCTCTCCCTGTCACGTGTCCACTTTCTTCCTTCTCCCTCCACGCGTCCTTTCCTCCTCACCCTAACCTCTTTCTTCCTCACTCTTATATCATCACCTCTTCATTCTTTACCATCAAAATCAAATTCAACCAAAAAAAACAAAGGAAAGAAAACAGAGAAAAATTTCCTTCTTAGTTCTACAAAATCTCTTGAGAAATTATAGTATAACACATAAAAATGGCAAGCAGGAAGGTAGAGAAGGCGGAGGGGGCGGCGAGGTACGCCGCAGACGAGCTGAAGTCAGAGAGGGAGGCAAAGGAAACCCAGCCAAAACAAGATCAGCAAGTTCGGAAAGATCACTACACTGAAGAAACCAACTACCAGCAACAACAAAATAGGCCGGGGATCATCTCCTCGGTGATCGGTGCGATTGGAAGCACATACGAGCACGCGAAGGAGGCGGTCGCGGGGAAGACTCATGATGCTGCTGAGAGGACTAAGGAGACTGCTGCGTATACTTCTGAGAAGATGAAGGAGACTGAGAGGGATGCTGCTGTTCGTGCGAGGGAGGATGCTGCGTTGGCGAGGGAAGGAAGGGATAATGCTGCTGAAAATTTAAGGCAGACCAAGGATGCTGCTGTTGGGAGGACTAAGAATGCTGCTGGTTATGTTGCAGATAAGACTGTCCAGGCGAAGGATGTTACTGTTGGGAAGACTAAGGATGCTGCGGGGTATGTTGCTGATAGGGCTAAAGGGGCGAAGGATGCTACTGTTGATACGGCCGTGCAGGCGAAGGATGTGACTGTTGGGAAGACTAAGGATGCTGCAGGTTATGTTGCAGATAAGGCTAGAGGGGCGAAGGATGTGACTGTTGATACGGCCGTGCAGGCGAAGGATGTTACCGTGGGGAAGACTAAGGATGCTGCGAGTTATGTGGCGGATAAGAGTAAGGAGGCGAAGGATGTTGCTGCTGAGAATGCAAGGATAGCGGCGAATAAGACAGGGGAGTACACGGAGTATACTGCTGAAAAGGCGGTGGAAGGGAAGGATGCTACTGTTGGGAAGCTGACTGAGTTGAAGGATTCTGCTGCTGATGTTGCGAAAAGGGCGATGGGTTTCTTGTCTATGAAGAAAGATGAGACTGCGGAGAAGGCGAGCGAGACTGCTGATGCTGCTGTGCAGAAGACCAAGGAGACGGCCGAGGCGGCTAAGGAGAAAGGGAGGGAGACTATGGAGTCCGCTAAGCAGACCGCGAATGCTGCTAAGAACAAGACGTGGCAGAAGAAAGAGGAAGCCAAGGTGAGAATTCGGTTGTCCTCTCTCTGATCTAATACTCTGCATATATAATAAGTGATTCTAGTCTTAGCTAATGTGTTATTAGTATATAATTTGTGGGTATGTTTTAGATATATATGTATCTCAAACAATGTAGTCATTTCTCAAGGTTAAATAAAATGTTAAAAACTTTTTAGATCAGATCAAGATGACTTGTGATATCTATGAATTGCATATAATTTGGGTACATTTTTACTTTCTCAATTGTTTTGTTTATTTATGACTTTAATTAAAATGTCTAGTGCTGATACATTGTGAAAATTTTGATATAGTTGAGGTAGTACTTCTGTAGCATTCTTGATACGGAGTATTAGATTTTGAGAAAAGCATTAGAATAAAACAATTTGAATTGCTGATATAATTGGGGATATCTTACTTTTCTCAATAGCATTGGTTAATTTTGCATATAAATTAAAATGTCTAATACTGATAGATTGCGAAAATTTAGATATAGTTGTATTGCATTCTTGAGGGCTTGAGGCTGGATCTTGAATGTATCAGTTAAATACAAAACAATGTTATTATTTATGAAATAATATGTAGTATTTGTATAAGATCAATGTGATTATTTATGAAATAATATGTATTTGTATATAAGATATTGTTTTGCATAGGCTAAGGGCCTGTTCTCTTCCGTTGAAATTCAGCTCAGTTCAGTTCAGCTCTTAATTTACGTCTAATGATATTGCTAATGATATAAAGCCAAATTTTATTCTTTTAAGCTCTTATTACAAAGACAATAATAATAATAATAATAATAATAATAATAATAACAATAACAATAATAATTAAAATAATAACACTAATAATAATAATCAATAAATAATAATAATAATAATCAATAAATAATAATAATAATAATCAATAAATAATAACAATAATAATAATAATAATAATAATCAATAAATAATAATAATAATAATAATAATAATAATAATCAATAAATAATAATAATAATAATAATAATAATAATAATAATAATAATCAATAATTAATAATAATAATAAAAATAATATGTACATTTGTATATACACATATATATAGTAATAAATAATCAATAAATAATCAAAGATCACTAATCCGTAGTTAAAAATCACTAATTAATAAGTTCAGTTCAGCTAAGTTCAGTCAATCGGAACAGGCCCTAACTAAAATTTTAGTGATTAATCAACATAGATAGAGATAAATTCAATTGGTTAATATGTACAAACATTGTGATCATTTATGAAATACAGCAATATGTATATGCACAAGATGTAGTTGTGGAAGTGTTAATTTTATACTCAATAGTGATCGATCGAAATTCGATAGTGTGGTTGTTTCAATATGGTTGATATGTGCTTTCTAGATATGTTGCGTTTTTAACATGGGATTTTTACTCATAGTAGTATAAAGAAAAATGATATATGATTATATTCCTTGGACAGGATGCTTACAAGGCTACAGAAGAGGATGCAAGAAGGAAAAAGGAAGAAATGAGGGTAGAGAAGCTGAGACAAAAGGGCTATGATATGCAAGATGAAGACCGCGATGCGGCACTGAGGTAGTGATTAATCAGGATACAATTTGTACAACAATGTAGGGATTAGAAATTAAATTGATCGATCATATAACTAATGAGAGTATTCTTTTGTATGAAACAGGGGAGAGGATGCCAAGAACAATATACTAGGGGCAATAGGTGGATTAACAGATGCTATGAAGAGCAAGCTTTCTGTTCCAAGCGAAGAGGAGAAACGAAGGACCCAGGGTGGCAGGGGCGGTGATGAGAAGATAGTAGCAGTGACTGTTGAGGAGTCGCGGCCTGGAGCAGCTGCGGATCTTCTGAAGGCGGCTGATCAGATTACCGGGCAGAGTTACACCCCTAATGATGTGGGTAAGATGGGGGAGGAAGGGACTGGATTCCCAAAGCCTGCCGGACGTCGCCGTTGATTGAGCTAGCAATGGTGGACATTATATAACGACACTATAATAGATGAACATATATGACCATGCATGGTTTTTGTTGGCCGGTCTATCTGTTAGCTGTTTCTAAGTCATATATGATCTTTTGTTTGTTACACCTAGCTTTTGAAACTTTTGTTATGTTGTAAGCTCATTTTGGTTCTTATATAAATTATCTCTACTATAATTAAGGTGGGAAATGGCTTTAATAAAGTCCCTTGTTTTTTAGTTTCTTGATAATGAATTGAACCTTCTTCATGAATATGTGATGTTGGTCCCATCTTTTAATGATTTACTACGGTAATTTTAAAACTACATTGTGCAACAGCCTTTGTTCTTCTTTGTACTACCTCCGTTGTATATTATTTACAACTAATACATGTATTCTTTTTTTTTTTTTTGTTCTTTTTTTTTTCATTCCGTAGAAAGTATAGAAGTCGTATGTTGTTGGGTTGGTATTGGAACATCGAGGCACTGTATTGTATCTGTCCTTCTTGTATCTTCATTTTTTTTTTTAATATCTATATACGAATGTAAAAAACATCTTTTTTTTTAAATACAAATCGAAAGAAAAAAAAAATTAAGTTTATTAATTTATCGATTTGGTGGCATAATTTAACTTATGGAATCTGAATAGTAAATTCAGATGAAACATATGGAATGCATACGGAGCTATTAACTGAAGCCAGAGGAATATATCAGAGCCAGAGGCTTTAAACTTACAAAGAGCCAACTTAACATTATGTCCTTTTAAACTTACACGCCAATGATTTATAAATCAGACAAGACAGATTCATCACTTAGAACAGTAAGCATAAGAAATAAAGACCAATTTCTTTGTGGATGATCAAATTGTGCAATTCAAGCTAAGCAAGGTGTTTGTAGCTTATTAATTTAATTGATTCACGAAATTATCCGGGTACCTTGAAAATTAATGATTCCCCTCTACACCCCATAACACAATGGAATATAATTACAACAATAATGAGCAAAAAACTTGAGAGGCTTATTTTTGGACATAAAGCAAATATGAGACACAGTTCAAGTAACAAGGCATAGTTTGTCTTTGTCAAACAAAAAAAAAAAGGCATAGTTTGGCTAGTTATAACTTGATGATGTCATGATTATGGAATCAATGATAAAACTCATAAAAGCAATTAACTATAAAGTAACTAAGGCAGTAACTATTAAGTTGTAAGCTAAGTATGTTGTTTAACATACCAATCAACAAAGTAGGGTATGGTGCATATATTTATGCATGTAAGTAGCTTTATGGAGTTTGAAACTGATATATTACCCTGCAAATACGTAGATGTCATGCTTGCTTTTCCTTGCCTATAAATAAACTCCCCTGCTTCTTTCATTTCTCTTCATCCTTGCATATTATTCCAACTTTGTCAACCTCTCAAAAGAAATCATGTTCACTTCTAACTTAGGCCCTGTTCAATAAAAAAATAATATTAAGTAAAAATAATTCTAGTTCAATAAAAATAAGTTCAGTTAAAAAAAAAAAAAAAAAAAAAACAGTTTTCTCAAAGAAGAATTATAATTTCACTTCAGCAAAAATAATTTTAGTTCAATAAAATTAATTTATGTTCAGAAAAATAATTTAAATTCAGCAAATATAATTTTGTTTCACTAAAAATATTTTTAGTTCAACAAAAATAAGGTGATGTGAACAGGTCTTACTCCTTTGCTTGAGCTTATGCTTCTTCTGGCCTTGGTTTCTGTCTCCAGTGTTGCTGCCTTGTTGCCGACCTCTGCTCCTCTAACAGTTGGGCTCTACAACAAGACCTGTCCCTGCGCTGAAACTACTGTCAGAGGAGTTGTAAAGTCCGCGATTGCAAAGGATCCTGGACTTGGAGCTGCTCTGATCAGAATGCACTTCCATGATTGCTTTGTGAGGGTATGTTATAATCTTGTTTTAATTTGCTTTAATTTACAATGGATGTGCTTTTTATTTCAGCAAACACATTTTATGTTCAAGCCAGCATTAACGTAGGCTTGTATTCTGTTCTGTTCCAGGGATGTGATGCATCCATTTTACTGGACTCAACTCCAGGGCATCCAACAGAGAAGGATCACTTCATTAACAAGCCTAGCGTAAGGGGCTTTGAAGTGATTGATGAAGCCAAGCTTCAACTTGAAGCTCAATGTTCCCAAACGGTCTCTTGTGCCGACATCATAGCTATTGCAGCTCGCGAGAGTGCTTGGAGGGGTCTCTTATGCAGTGCAATCAGGGCGAAGGGATGGCCAGCATTCTCTTGAAAAGGAGCTTACTGGTACAGCAGGGAAAATCAGAACAAGTTGTAGGGCGTTAACTCATTTTAGTTCGATAAAAGGCTTTTTATTAGTTAACTATTCATCTCTCAGAGTTTATTAGTATAACAGTAAGCTAAGTGTTTTATTTTCACAATAAGGAATGTATAATCGATGCATATAATAAGGAATGTATTTTCTATTGAGGTTGCAAATGTTTTAACAGTTGTCTTGTGTTCTATAATTAAATCAGCAAAGAAAACTAGGAAAGTATAATGCAGAATGTAGATTGTAGGAAGTAAAAGGCAAAACAGAACAGAAGAGTATATTTACATAGTATTTGACAGCTAATCATATACGAAGTACTAGTTTTTGCGTGCTTAATTCTATGAAAATTGTACATAGTATGTGTTGGCATAAAATGTTCATTTGGCATAATTCATTTACAATAAGGAAAAATTAGAAAATAACACAATAAAAATCACAAAAATTTGATTTTAACACCATAAAATTTAAAACTTTTATTATAACACCATAAAAAAAAATAAAGAAAAAAAAAACCCAAAAATTTGATTTCACCACCACTTAACTTTTCCATCCAAAAACTCGTTAATGGGTCCTACACTGTACACGTGCCATAAATTTATTGGATTAAAACAATAAAAAACAAAAAAATAAATTAAAAATAAAAATCTCTAAATCTTAACCTAGCCACCGCCGTCACCCCGACCTATCCCCCACCGCCCGTTACCCCAACACAACCCCACGCCGTCACCCTCGACCCACGAAACCAGCCAACCGATCGACCACCCTCATCCGTTGAAACCAGCCCAACCGTACCCACGAAACCAACCCTGATTTGGTTTCAGGGAACGAGTTTTAGGTGAGGGTGAGAGGAGTAGGGCGGTTTGTGGGTTTGGATATGGGTGTGGGTTGGGGGTTCGGCGGTTCGACGACGGTGGTGGGTTGATGTGCTGCTGTCAGCTACTCGACTAGGTTGCGTTGGGGTTTAGGTCGTGGTTCGTGGGTCGGGGAGACAACAAGATGGAGGCTGAGCTGATTTGGGTTGGGGTCTGGTTGGTTCGGCAACGGTGTCAAGTCATGGAGACAGCGATGGTGGCTGGGTTAGGGTGACGGCTGACGGCGGTAGGGACTGGCGCCGGTGGTGGGGTGGTGGCTGGGTTAGGAGTTTAGGATTTTTCTTTTTTTTTTAATTTTATTTTTCAATTTTTCTTTTTTTTTAATCCAATAGTTGATTAACATGTGTATTAGGTAGGGCCCACTTAATGGTTTTTTGGATGGCAAAGTTAAGTGGTGGTGAAACCAAATTTTTGGTTTTTATTTGTGGTGTTATAATAAAAAAAAAATGTGGTGTTATAATTAAAATCGTGACAGTTTTATGGTGTTATTTTCTAATTTTTCCTATAATTAATTAGTAATGGAATCGATTAAAATAACTATATATGACATAGATATGAATTATATATGCAATTTAGGGCATGTTCACATTTACTTAATTTCAGTTCATGTTCAGTTCAGTTCAATTCAGTTTAGTTCAGTTCAACTCCAATCAATTCAGTTCAGTTCAGTTTAGCTCCAATCAATTCAGTTCAGTTCATCTCCTAATTTCCCTCTCTCATAAAATATTCATTTCAGCTCAGTTCAGTTCAGTTCACTTCAGCTCCAATCAGTTCAGTTCAGCTCCAGTCATTTCAGTTCAGTAAATGTGAACAGACTCTTATATATGTTTCAATTCATTTAAAGTAATGTTTATCGATTTGAATTTTACATCAATTAGGTCATATAATAAATGTAGTCTTCATTTTTAAGTGGGAAAGGATAAGTTAGGCAAATCATATGCATAGCCTTTAACATTCATTAAGGGTAAAATAGACATTTCAAGTGGACACCGCCACCACCACCACCACCCCCTTCCGTTATATAATAGAGATTAATCCTTGACTCGGTTTTTCATATATACTAATAACATTAATTTATAAAATATGATAAATTTCGCTCAAAAGATGAGAAATCTTACCTAGGTTAACATAAACTAACCATAGCAAACCTAGGTTAACATAAACTAACAACAATTCACCCCCTAACTAACGATTTTATGTAATTAAGTTTGAAAAGGTCTACCATCATATCATCATATTATATCATATCATATCATAACATATATATCATATCTATTAACTAAAACTAAAACAAAACATTAATGATGTCATCAATTTCTTAAAGTGCTTACGTGTCAAACTCTCATAAAAATTTTCCCTACAATTTTTACCTATGATGTCATCATTTTCTTTTTTCTTTTTTTTTTCTTCCTTTTTTTGGTGTCTTTTCTGGCTGAAAACAAGGACCAATTAGGTGTGAAATTTGAATTTGACATCAATATTGTAGTATATACTCCACACTACTTTTGGATATTCATAATATAACAAAATTAAATAGACATAGATATTGGTAGCTAATTATACACATTTTTTTTTTGAACAAATTAACACACATTTTTTTAATTTTTTTAAATAGTAAATACACATTTATTTAGCTTCCACTCTAAACGTATAAACTTAATGAATTATACATTTATATAACATTAATATATTTAATCTAACCATCATTTTAGTACGGAGTATATATTTAATAACATAGTAAATATTACATTATGATGCAGCATTTTATAACTATTTTTTTTAAGTACATTTTTTTTGTATAAATATTTATGTAACAAATTTTATAAAAAAAATAAATAAATAATGAGCCAAATTATATTAGAAAGTTATCAACAACAAAAGATAAAAAATTATACAAAAAATTACTTATCAACCACCGTGCAACGCACATGTACTAATCTAGTACTATACTAATTCAGAGTCGACTCAAAGCCTAACTCGCCACACGTCACATTATGGTTATAAATTTTCCCGCTTATTTTTTTACTCTCTTTTTTAGGAAGTAAATCGTTTTTATGGATAAAAAACCTCTATTTATATATTATTTTATACTTATCTACTTGCCAAAACGACATATGTGATAGATTTTGGAGTATATTCTTTAATTGGCAAGGTATCACCTTTGACATATGTCAATTTATTTTTGCTTGTAAATTAGAACTAATTTATAAATAATTTTCACTAAATACATAAGTAAGACACGTGTAAAAATTATGCAATAATTGCTAATTTACTTTCACTTAATTACTTTAACATAATTTTCACCTATCAATCTCATCATCATAATTATTTAACGAATCTTTATAATAGACAAATTTTACAAATTAATTTAATAAATTCGTGCATGACACGGGTTTTAGGTGTTTGGTAGAACATGAGAATTTGTAATTAAAATAAGAAATTCTATCCATTAAGAGCCAAGAGTTTATTTTAATCACATATGCCTAGAATTTTTTTATTTCATTGTTTGAAGTGTTTGAATCATGATCCTACATATATCATATCACTCAAATTCTATGTACTATGTATTCAATTTACTAAAATAGAATACTGCTTACATCACCACACTTTTAAATGAGACAAATGTTGTCTTCTTATTAAATATTTTGAAAAATTGACATGAATAATTCCAATTTTACCTCACTGGCCCAAAATAATCTCAACTTTCAATTATTTTTTAATAATATAAACTTTAATATCAATTGTTTTTAATGGTCCCAACCGGTGTACAACTTGTTATAACAAGTTATCAGACATATATCAAGACGAGATTGGTCAAAAGATAATTGAAAAAAATAAAAACAAAATTAAAAAAATTCAATTAATCAACTAAAACCCACTGCCCCTCCTTGGCAGCTCCAGTCCAGTCAGGTTATTGAGTAGTCACAAATCGGCACCACACTCCCACGAAACCCAGGCCAGGGCCCCGTTCCCAACCCCTCTCCGGCTACGTCATTGCCTACCATCTGCCATCGTCCCCAACCCCAAAACCCCAGATTTACCTAAAAAAACACCTCTGCCGCAACCCCCCCCCACCCACCCAAATTCCATCTCGCCCACTCTCAGAACCCTAATGAATACGAGTTTCGAGGGTTGGGGGAGGAGCAATGGGCGCTTTAAGCCGTGGTGAGGGTAGGGCAGTGGTGGCTGGTGGTGTTGTGGTGCTTTTTTTTTTAAATTATTTATTTTAATTAGCTCTTTAGTTAAATAGGTAGTTTCCTTCAAAAAAAAAAGGTAGTTAAAAGTGTTAGTTAAGATTTAGGGCCTGTTCTCATATGATTAAGTTCAGTTAAGTTCAGTTCAGTTCAGCTCTAATAAGTTCAGTTAAGTTCATTTTAGTTCAGCTCCTAATTTCCTTCTCTTATAAAATATTCATTTCAGTTAAGTTCAGCTGTAATAAATTCAGCCAGTTCAGTTTAGTTCAGCTCATTTCATTTAATGAGAACATCCCCTTAATTTGTAACTAAATAAAAATTTAAACTTATTTTGACCAATCATGTAGTGATATATGTAGTATGTACAATAGAATTACACCAAAAAAAAAAAAAAAAAAAAAAAAAAACTCAACAGGTTGCAAGTCACTCGGGACCATTACAATCAAATTGATATTAAAGTTCTGATTATTAAAAATTAATCAAAAGTTGGGATTATTTTAGACGGATAATGCAAAGTTGGGATTATTCCTGTCAATTTTTCCTAAATATTTTTCCGCTTAAACTAATAACGATGTCATCTAAACAAAACTTTTGTAATCTTTTTGCTTCAAGGGCATTTACAATAGTTTAAATCCCTTAGAGCATAACCTACCATTAACCATTTAGGGTGGTTATTAGGAGAGAGAATGTGAAAGAAGTATTAAAAAATGAAGAGAGAGAAATTTTAGGGAAAAAAGAAACCAATAACCTGATTGTGGAAATAACCAGGTTATAAACCTTGGTTATTAGCAAA